CCCCAAAACCCCAAAACCCCAAAACCCCAAAACCCCAAAACCCCAAAACCCCTAAGTAGGGTTAAAAAATTGAGTTCGCTCAATTGTTAAAGTTTTAACTAATATATATAAATGGAGAAGAAAAAGTTATTTCCAAAAGCTGTTCCAAGAATACCTATACCTAAACGTAACAAGTTCTCTATGCTAGCAGAGACTGGAAGCCTTGGCCATGGCCATAATTTGGATACAAATAGGAGAACACTGTGCACTAAATTCAGAGGAGATGCACATACTTTGATGAATCAGAATAAAAAGATCATTCTCTGGTTATCATGGCTGTTGAAAATATCGGTGTCTCTTTCAATTACCCAGTTCTTCAGCTTGAGCATGCTCTCTTGACTAATGATTATTCTTTGCTTGTGAAGCTATGATCTTAAGACATTAAAAATTACTAAGGAGAAAAGCATCCTAAAATGGGATATTCAGATAAAAATTCTAGACTATATGACTGTGAGACCTCTGTGGCAGTACTTGCTATTTGGACTACTCAACTGCACTATATTCCTTGGGTTAATGCTTTGTATCCGTAATGCATACCTCCTCTCTGTGTTTGGTGAGGAGGAGACTTCAAGACTAGTTTCTGGGTTCCACTACATTTGTCTTCTGCTGACTCTGGTATTTATATGGCACTTGAACAAAGAAAATAGTCAGTTGAATGATAGAAACACTAAATTCCTAATAAATATTATCGAAAATATTACAAGAAACATCGCTATCGTCTCAAAGACTGGAGAGGTCCTTTTTATAAACATAAAGACTGAAAAATTCCTTACAAAATATTGCAATGGTGTTATTCCTGATAATTTTGCCAAACTAATAGCTGAGTATGACAAGTGTAGATTCTTCAGTGGGATTAGTCAGAGCTACAAGACCCCCCAGAACGTTCAAATGCAGCTTCATATGTCTTTCAACAATGTTGTTGAGAAACTCAAACCTAATACATTCATAGAATCTGAACTGGGCAAAGAACTTGACAATGAACTCTATGAAATGGAGTTTAGTCAGAATAGGTGGGAAGGAAAGCCATGCGTCATGATCTTCTTCTCTCTAGTCAAAGCAACTGAAGACCGGGGTTCTACAGTGCAGCTCCAATCTCAGTCCATTCTGCACCAAATAAATGACCTTGTTTTGGAATCTTGCTATAAATATAAGAGGTTTAACAGCATCGACAGTAAGTACTTTATGATAATTTTTAGTTTGCAAAGGAATTAGAAGAGTCATCCAAATCGATGTTAACGACAACGCAGAAGTCTCTAAGATTGGGACTGAGGAAGGAACAGGGTTTAATGACAAGAACAGTCTTGAAGTTGTTGACCACAATAAGCAATTTTATCGTATTAGTCTTGACGTCAACTTCAGGAATATTGATCTAGTTGATATAAGACCTCAAGCCAAACACAAAAATAATTTAAAGATATCTAATAAGAGAAAGCCTAAAAGTGAAAGCAAGAGCCATAACCATGCACCTGACCAGAGAAGTTCTCGAAAGAACTTTTTCAGCAAAGAAAAGGCGTTGGAAAAGATGTCTTCGCATGCCACCACCACAATGGTCGCTCTGCCAAAGCAAAATGAGGGAAGCCAATCAGCGAGGACAAAGCAGCTTGAAAAGCCTGCTCCAAAGGAGAGAATGTTCATGACACACAACAAGTTCTACATTAAGCCTGTCATGAGTGAGATTAAGGAGGAAGAGAATAAAAGCGAGATCTCTGACTCTTACAAAAACAGGGAAATCGCCTCCTCCGAGCAAGCAAATCTAAGTGAAGCTGTTAAGAATATGATAAGTAATACATCTGGAGTAGAAGGAAGTACTCTTAACAAGAATTCTCCATTATTTTATGACTTTGAGATGCTTAAAACTATCGTGATTCTTGTATCCAACTTCGTAGGGCTCAAGGCATCATTCGTGATAGACCATGAACCATTATCCCTTGTGAACAGGAGAGATGAGGAGTTTAACAAGAGTAACTCCCTTAGCAAGGAATCTAGCCAAGTACCTAAGATAAGGGTCATCTTGGAATCTAGGATCAATGATATTGCCCTCAAAAATATCAAGTGCTTAGATGACGATTATCAACAACTTGATAGTGCAATGAAGAACAAGACTATGAAGAGCCCTGCGAAGGGCATCAAGGACTTCTTCCAAGACCAATCTGGAACGAGGATGTATAACAGGACTTCTGATGAAAAGTCTTTAAAACTTAAAGCTACCGAGAGCAGCAGGTCAGGCTGCCTGAACCATGAAGATAGCGAGAGCGAGACTGAAGGAATAGTCTCTATAGACAACGAGAATGTACGTGATAGGAATGTTGCACTCAGAAGGGAGTTCAATTTCATCACGAAAGAAGCTAGAGATTCTATTCAAGATTCATCTAGAAAGGATTACAGCTCTAAAGAGTCCTCTTTTCACACAGAGGAGAAAAAGAGAGATCCCAAATCAAGGCAGAGCAAGCTGGATTTTGTAAAGAAGATTGAAATAGAAGAGCCGACTGGGACTCAAGATTCCATCTGAGTTGAAGCTGTTCCGACTAAGATAAGAAATGCCAAGACTTTGCATCTGTTATCTGCTAGAAACAAGATAACTTAATTCTTCATAGATGAAATTCTAAATAATCCTCGGCTTAGTAGACTAATAGGAATTTTTCATAATTTTGGCTGGAAAATTTAGGATTTTCTTACCCATTTATAATATGATTCAGAATTACTTAGAAATTTCATGGTGCAGCTCTTAGTTACTGTTTTGAGGACCAAATGGGTGCGCCTCGATTACCTGAGGGTTTAGGTAACTTTTATGAGTTATTTAACTAGTTAACTGCTTTTGAGGTGAAATCCAGTGATTCATAGGTCAAACGTTGACTAATAATATTGTCAACCGAACATTTAATATTCTATTTAATATATTAACAAGGGGTTTTGGGGTTTTGGGGTTTTGGGGTTTTGGGGTTTTGGGG